ATCTTCTTGCTTTAATAAAAATCTGACAATAGAACATAATAGTTTCTGTAGTTGAATATTTTATTGAAATTTTGCAACTGTTTTAGGAATATAGTTATTTGCACTTTTTTATGTTTGGTTTTGACTTTATATTTAAAAGCATTTTTTTTTACTAAATTCAAACTCAGAAAATTATTCACACTAAGAACACTTTTATAATTACTGACGATGGGGAAAATTGATGAAATGATAAACTACGGAGATCTTGTAATTGGAGAATGCAATCCAAAGCTTGCATGGCCTTATATGGAATAGTGTTTAAGGCCAAGACACAAAACACACATATTCACGTATCGTGGAAAGTATTATATCATATGGGAACAGAATGTGGCGTTAACAAAACAACCGTAGAGACAGAATACGGTCGGTAGAGCTCGACTTTATGAGAGATTATCTTTGCAGATAACAGACTGGTATAAAGTAAGAAAGGAAGTGGTGTGTGGAAGAGCAAGGGTTCAAACACCATAACCAGAAGACTATAAAAATGAAGCTCTTCAATGGTATATGGACATGTCCATGAGATCGAAATGAGAGATGGCCAAAACAAATTTTAAATTAGATACTGAAAGAAGCGTGAGAGGAGGTAGACCTGGTTTAACTGGAAGACATGTAATCATGAAAGTAATGGAGGAGAACGGATTGGAAGGGTTCAATGGGAGGACGAGAGAATTGGGAAATCGAAAAACGCGAAATCAGGAGTAGAAAACCGGAAGAAGAGAGAGGACACTAATTAGAGCAGTGGACTCTGTAGTAAAAACTACAATGTGACTATTCATACAAAAAGATACTCCTGGAATTCTAGAAATAATCATTTGACAGGTTTCGTCAAAGCCAGATCTTCATTTTTGAAAAATGTTATTGTGAGTGTTTATATCAGTGATGTAATGAATTTGTTTCTGTACTCATTTTTAATAATAAGAGTATGTTACTGATATTTAAACCTGATCAGGATTTAGTTATTTGTTGGCTTTTGTATCATCATATGTGGTTAACTGAGGATAACAATTTCTTTAATCTTAGGATACCTGTATTTCATTCATTTTTAGAATCATCATTGTATTTAACTACATTGCGGACATATAATGTAAAATCTGCATTGATATTTGTTCATAATGCAATTTTGTGTACCTGTGTTATATGGTGATTGTCATATCAATAAAGAATGTAATTTATTGGTGTTGTAATTGCATATAAATCCTGTTTAAGAGACACAACCTTTCCCGACCACCAGTCAAACGTCTTAAAAACATTTTTTATATATCCTTTAGGGAAGCGCTTTTTAGGAAATTTGTATGAATTAAGAACATTAATTTTTCATAGTTAAATGAAAATAATGTTTTAACCTCATTCTTATGATATCCTGAGCGGGCATTCTATGGAAATGCAGGGTAAGGAGAGAGGGGAGAATCTGAATTTTGTTAACAATAAACATCGCCACTAATATGGTAATTAGCTGTTCTGTTTCACTCCATGGCTGTTTTCCAATGTGACAGCGGATATGAAAGGACTAATGTTAATTCTTAGAATTACAGAGCCTTCCATACCTACTTCCAGAAGGGCACATGCTACAGAGAATATCATTTTCGAATGCAAGAGTCATATCAATTTACTCCCTAACACGTGAGTGTTTGGATTGCATCCAGAATTGGAGCTCATCACTCACCCAAGGCACCACTTTAATTTTTGTTGGTTGTTGTTTTCTTTTCTTCTTTTTATTGTGCAAAAGGAGTATGTGAAAGTGAATTGGGACTCCTAAGACAGAATGTGTGTTCATTTCAAAATAGAAAGGCAGAATAAAGCCTTTGTCAAAAGGTTTAATTTTCATAATTTAGGCACATATGCACAGGTCTGCAATTGTGAAAAGAATGTTGATTGTATGGAATTGTGGGATGAAGAAAAAGGTTCCTTCCTTACGCAGCCACCTTTCTAAGACCACTTTTTAACAGAACCAAACCAGTAGTCTCTTAATGCAGGTTTCTCTGTACACTAAGTGCCACTTGTAAACAGAATTCAGAGAAACAAGCACATTCCCAAATAATTCAAGAAAAGAGTAATGTCACTGCTCTTATTCTTGTTTATCATCTCATTAAAGGGGCAGTTACTGTCTGTTGCGGTTTGTACAATCAGAGCTTTCAGTTTCATAAATTCATTTAGAGATAGCTTAAATGAATAGATAGTGAAATATACTAATAACTTTTTATTCTTATGGCAGCGGTTAATTTAACACTTCCTACTGTATTCCACTGGTACAATTTGCAGTCAGTAAACCGAATTTTGGTCAAATTCTCATTCGTTATTATCTTACACACCTCTGAAGCTTTGTGAGAAACTTGTGATAAGCCATGGTATTATGGTTTTGCAGTGTGATTGCAAACCTCTTTCCACTGTGTATGAGAAGAGTATGCATTTAAAATAGTTTATTTTATGTATGACAGTATGAATCATTTGTTCATTATACAGGCTCACTATACCTTAACTTCTTTTCTGATTCAAATCCTGAATTTATTGCTAAAAAGAAATTATTGTTCTGTTGACATTAATTTACATAAGCTGATTTAGATTTCTCTTTAGTATGCAGTTATATACTGCACACTCGCACAGTGTACCAAAAACTGCCAGTTGTATGGGAAATGGAGTTCTTGGAGGTAGGCAGGAATACACCTGAATAAAAATTCCCTTGTTTCTTTGCATTTTTTATACTTGGTAATTTCTGAGAAGTGAAAATAACACAAGCATACGGAAATCAGTGCAACAATTGCTAGAGAAAATAAATAGAGTATATTTACGAATTCTTTCTCCACACCCTCCTGTGTTCACACAAACAATATGCACATGCATACCACACACGCACTCACATTAAAAAATATGTGTGCACCCTCAACAACTAATAATCAGTATTTTCAGGAGAAATTTTAAAAATTACAAGTTAATGGACAAAATAACTTCATACTACTGTAATGAAAATGAATGTATGACAAACTTTAACCATCTCCAGTAAATATTATAAAATATATATAACCTTTGGTGTGATTTGTTTTTTTAGTTAAAAACATTATGGTAATTTCCTATTAATTATTTTATAAGATATTTTTTATATTATTCTGGTGGCTAGGAACTATGACTTATATCAGCTTAATTTTGAAATGTTTTCAATATTGCTCTGTCGTGCTCTACAAAACCTTACTAATTGACATTATTGTTGTATTTTGTATAATAATATTTTTTATAAAAGTTGTTGAAACGTAGTATGAATATAATTAGCATCTCTGACAATAGAACATCGTCTTGACATGTTATATCCCTAATAGCTACTTGTAAGCTCAAGATTTGTGTCTGTGGATGATTATACGAGGTTGCTTTTATATTCAGATTTAGAGAACAAAAACAATATTAATCATCGAAAATCACTTATTGTTTTTCAAAATATTCGCCATGAAGATCTATACACTTTTGCCACTCTGACTGAGTAGCTCCAAAACATGCATTCTGAATGCAGTAACCGCTTCTTAAGGTGTTCGAAAAACGTTGACCTCAGTTTGTTTTTTACTACGGAAATAAAAAAGTCATTCGGTGCCAAGCAGGACTATACGGCGCAAGACTCATCAATCGATGTTTTGGTGCTCGAAAATGCAGTTGTTTGAGCATATGTGTGAGAGCGTCGCATTGTCGTGGTGAATAATGATTCGTCTTCGGCGGTTGGTTTTCCTGATTTCTTGGAAGACAGCTGCAAACAAATCGTTGTGTACCATTCAGGATTGACTGTTCTGCATTGTTCTAGTGGTTCGGTTGCCACATGTCCAGTTTTTCCGAAAAACATGCGACCATCTGTTTGGAAGTGCTTCGTGCGCGAACAACTTTTGTTGGATTTTGCTCATCTTGAAAACCCATACAGTCGACTGCTATTTACTTTCGGGCTCATACGCGTAAATCCACCGACCTGTCACGATGTCATGACGTGTTTCGAAGCAACGCGATCGTATTTTTGAGCATTTTCTTTCGACCAATCGACACGAGCCTTTTTGAGCGAAATTGACAAATTGTGTGGGATCCAACGCGAACTTTTTTTTTTTTTTTTTTTTTTTTTTTTTTTACAATCAAATGTTCATGCAATAGAATGCATGCTGGTCCTCTAATGCCTAAGGTTGTCGCAATCTTACGAAGGTCACATGGACCGATCTTGCAAATCAGTTCATGCACAGCATCAATGTTTTCGGAACAACTGAATTTGGACGACCTTCACGAAATTCGGCTTGGAATGAACTACGACACGATTGAATTCACCCTACCATCGAAAACTTTGATCGAGCTTCATCGCCAAAATTGAATTAAGTTCATCCAATGCACTGTTGCTGAGTTAATCCACGTCGAAAGTTGTAAAAAAATAATCGCACTAAAATGTTCACGATTTAATTCCATTTTTGGGCCAAGATGAATCTTTAAGTTACTGTAAACACAAATAGCGCTCGTATGTCAAAACGTTCTGAGTACGTATAACCTCAAAACCTCCAATTTTACAATAGAGCTGTCAGTTGCCAGATCCCGAAACATAAAAAGCAACCTTCGTACCATTGCTTGTGTTGATCTGTTGACACACTATACATTTCATTTTCCAAAATGAATGACTTAGATTTTATTCCAAAGAACTTTCTGCCTCGTTCCTTGTTGAGAGTGTTTCTTATATAATTCTCTAGAAGCCCGAAATTTAAAAAAAAATGTTTTAAATCTATATGGATGTTCAGTCTTCCTAATTTAACATATGAGATGCCTGCTAAAACTAATATATGTCAGTTTTCTGACATTTGGATTGTATTTGATTCTGCTATTTGGATTTTGTTGTTGTGATTCTCATTTTTTGTATGCCAGAATAATTCAAAACTGACGAGATTTTGTATGAATCCCAGCAGTTCAATTGGTTTGTACACTGCGGCAATCCATACCTATTTGTACCTTGGTTGAAACAAATGTTTGTTTTTTGGGGAAATCACAAGTTCCTTATTTTGGATGTATGTAATGTAGGTTATCATTATCTCGCGTTGACCCCATGTTGGTTTGTGACATGCAACCAACTATTACCTACCTAATACCTACTAATACTAATACCTACTGTTGTTAATTGCTCAGTTTTTAGTAACTGAATTTGATGCATTTATAGTATTGATTCTTCAATTTGTTTTTGTTTTTTTTAATTTTTGCTTTCTTCTAACTTCTCTTTGTTTTGGGTAGATTTGTTTTCATTTGATATACCAAATTGTAGGTAGAAGAGAAGTAGACAGAAACAGTTTCCAATGCCTGTGAGAGTTGAATGACCTAGTCAAAGAAAATGAGACCTTAAAAAATAAAATAGACTTTAAAGTATTTCCTTTCCATTTTTGTTTTATTTCTAATTGCATGGAACGAAAGGGTGTGACTTGCACAGAGAACCGGCGAAACATTAAAGGATTTCTAGTTTTGATAAAATTTCTGTGGCTTTTAGAATGGTTTGTTTAAATTATCAATGAGAAAGAAAACAAATTGGTGCTTTTGTGTGTTTAGGCTGGGTCTGCTGGTTTGCACCAAAGTGACTTAAATTCCCTCTCGGGCCCTATGGGCTCAGGTGAAGGCGCAGATGCAGAGCAGGGCCCTGCTACTCAGGACGCACTGGATGGACTGGATGGTAAGAACTCCTTTATTATTTTGCTCTCCAAAGCATTTCCTGTGTTGATTGACTGTGTTTTGTGGAGGAACTACTTGTGTTTAGAAAAGCTTTGCAAAGCTTTGAGGACATGCACTATTTTCATGAAAAAATTGTTCTGAAAGACATTCATTCACACACATTTCTACACTCGACTACAGAAGAAAAATAAATTTTGTTTTTCTTGCTAAGCTAATAATCTATTAAGATTATTTTTTCATAAGTTTTTCGATTTTTTTATTTGGTATGGAAAATGAAAACTATTGACAACATACATTTCATAAAATTATGAAAAGATTGAATAGAAACGATGTAATTTCACACAAGAACACCCACCCACCACAAAACAACAAAAATTAATCTGCTAAAATGTCTTGAACTTGAAAAGCAGCTTATTTTATTAGCAGCTTTAGGATGCTAGGTATTTGCAATTCATTTGAAACTTTTTTACTAAGGAAATGTCTCAATGTGCATTTCATATATTTTCATAATTACATAGAAATATGTATTACTTTACTTTTTAAGAATTAATATTTACTTATATGTATTATAACAAAAGTATTGTAAGGGGGTGCTGAAGGGGGAGAAAAGTTATTTTTTAAATTTGGTACTGACAAAAACAAATGGCCTTCTAGTCTTAACTGTTCCAATTGACAATGCATCTTTAGGTGGAAACTGAATCCTTCAGTTTTAACGTATTGTCTGGAAAATTTATTGATGCAAGTAATCTAATGTGGGCAATGTTCAGCCAAGAAGTGCTGAAGATGGCTTCTACAGGTAATTTGGGTAGGTTGTCGCAGATAGCTGTAGTTTGTGGTTTTTGTAAATAGTTGTGTATATATGTTGTGGAAGGAAATGCTTTGGACAAGACAGGACCTAGCAAATCATTTTATTAATATATTCCAGTTGTGTAATTAGATATTATTTGATTTTGAAATGTTCCCTTAAAATTTTTCAATAGATAAATAGATAAAATTTTTCTATAGATCGTTTTGAACTATCAAAATTGCTTTGCTTGGTCTTTGTTCTTGGTATTGTTGGATTTTAATTTTTTTTATTATTATTTTTTCCTGTTAGCTTTGTTTTCGTTATTTTCTTTGTGTTTTGTTTTTTTTTGTATAAAAGAAAGGCCTCGTTCAGCAATCATGTAGAGATGCCTGGCCACAATTATTTGTGCACCAAGTGAGCAACAGTATGTTGAGGAATTTTAAAGTTACAAAGGCAAAATTTAGATACGAATTCTATTTACAGTGGAAACAAAATGTTTTATAATTGACTTTTGACTAAATCAGTATAATGTGGGAGTAACAAGTGCAAAGAAAGCAGTTTCTTTACAATTTGCTGCAAAGCACTCCAAAATGAGTGTTGTTTTGAGATCTTGGAATTTTGTACCACTTGGTGCATGGGCAAAAGAAGAAAACCTAATGTAAGTTTCAAAGCCTATTGAATCATGAACATGAGGTTGCAGTTGTTTCAATAACAAGTTAATGGACGGTTAAGTGTTGCATTCCTGTTATAAGCATCTTTGGAAATGTTTTGGGAACATCTCTGTGGTGGAGTGATGGTGCGTTTTGCCACATACCATCTTCAAAATGTTGGGTACATTTGATTTTTTTTAATCCCAAATAACATTTTAAACATAAATTAAAGTTTTAATGGTCTAGATTAAAAATGTATAGAAATGCAAAATAATTATAATATATGAACAACTGAAATATACAAAGGGTACATATTTTATATGCTTAGCAAGAATCTATAACATGTGGGAAATATTTTTTATTAATTTCCCAGAATTTCCTCACGAGTTCAGAACAGGTGGTGGGAGTGGGCTTGGTGTTGGCTGAATATGTAATCAGTGCTCATTAGTCTTACTCTGGTGGCGGGGTGGATGTGGAGAAAAATTACCCTTCTTGAATGGTTTAATTGCCATACTGTTTCTACATTATTAAAGAACAACACATTTATTTTTCATTAAAAATTGGGAATTGTGATTGGAGAAATGTAATATATTTTTTATTTATCTCCTACTGTTAATTGTGGATTTTTCTTTTTCTAAACTACTATTATGGTTCAAAATCATAATGTGGCTAAACTTTGAATTGTTCCCTATTGAATGTAAATGACAAAATATGTTGTGGTGCTGCAAAGGGTTTCTCTAAATCAATTGCTTCAGAAGATTGTATCAACAAGGAAAAATTGAATATGTTGTCTGCAGTTGGAGGCAGTTAATAAAAATTGGAAAGAAAGGTGTTACAATACTTTAGTGATGAGAACTTAAAGCAAGATTTGCTCTTGCTTCATGCTGTTATCTTCTCTGAATTCTATAGAAGTGTATAAACGAAACAGAGCCTTAAGTATATTCACAATCGTTAAAAAACCTAGTATTATGAATTAGATGATGCATTTGAAACATGATAAATGGTAAATGACAGTTCTTATGGGAGATTGGCACTTTTAAATAAGTGAAATGATATTCAAAACCGAGAAATTGTGTGCAAGAAGTGTGAATTTTTCTCTCTAAGGCTGTGAGTTGTTTTAAGATTTTTTAAAAATTCTATTTATTTTTTACTAGACTTGTAAATAAAGTGGTAAGAGTGAGAATGAATAACTGATAATGGTTCCCCAGTTAAAGATAAACAAAAAACAATCAGTTCCGTATTGTGTTCACTTACCTTATTATGTTTTAATCTCCAAATTTTTCTCTTGCTCTTCCCTGTGTTTCATTTACCCCAATGTCTGTGGGGCACATAATGCCACTATTGAAGTGGAGATTAAGTTAAAATTAACAAGTTAAAACTACCTGATGTTCATTGGCATCATCAACAATAATATCAGTTCAAACAAAATGTGCTTCTACAAAAACACCACAATAAGGAGAATGTGAATTGCGTTTCCACTAACAAAGCATTAAAGCTTTGTTATTAAGTAAAAAAAATCTTACTTTCTTGTACTTAACAACAAAAGTGTTAACCTTAACAACTCTTAAACTGGAACAATAATAAAATTTCATTATAAATATAAAATCCTTAATTGTCTAGTTAAATTTTACCGTAATACAGTGAGGTTGTAATGTCAATGTGGCTTTATTTGTTGTCAATTTCGCCTTTTTTACATTCTTTACACATTTTAATTACATTTAAAATTACATTAATAAAATCGTTAATTCAGAAATGTCAAAATTAAAAATTAGCATTAAAAAAATTAGGAATGTTACAGATAAAAATGTAATGATTAAGACTAGTTAATACACATTGTTAATTTAAATGTGGATAAAATAAAAGCATTTTCCCTTAATGTTACATATTCCTCACATCTCTTTATTTAGTCTCTATACTTTTACTACTGTAGTATTTAAATTTTTTTATGCAAGTTAATAGGATACATAACAAAAGTAGGTACAGTGGTCAAAATGTATTTTTTCTAAACTTTATTTTAAAAATTCAATGGATGGGAATGTTCCACATCAATAAATGTATTTGTTTTTGGGTTATTGAGGAGTACCTTCACTTTTACGTTAATGATATCAATTACATTGTCTCTGTTCACGTTTCCTTTAAATTCCATTTTATTCCAAACGTATTGGTTTCCTGGGTAACTTCAAACATGTAAACAAATTGGTTTCCTGGATAACTTTTGTATTAGTGCATGAATTTGTTTCTAATTTTCAGGAAGTATTAAATGAGTCAGTTTCGACACCATTCAAAACTAATTGATTTAGGTACTATTTACGATTTTTTTTAAAATATAAAAATACGTAATTTATCATGTCTAATAAATTATGTAAGATATAACTTAATATATTGTCAAAAACACGGAAAACATAAAATAAAACTCCTTTTATATTGAAAAATTAGAAATTTTGATGGTTTCAATATTTTGTAAATGATAACTACTATTTTCTTAAAAGAGAAACCGTGCTGTGTTATTTGTTAATAGTTTTCAATTGAACCTAGAGGACAATACCATTTACCATAATTACAGCAAACAAAATGGAAATACATTTTAATTGTTTTATTTTAAAACAGATTACAGTAAAACTGACTATACTAAAATGTGTACAACAATACAATATATTTCTTGCCATAATTGTGTTCTAGTTCTTTGCAGTACAACTTATTTTGTTTTGTGGCGTATTTTTGCTTTTTGTATTGAACTCTTAGGGTTGTAAAAATTACTACCTTTTAAATCTGTGATATGCATTAAAAATGAGATGCACTATCATTGTAAGTTCAGAAGAACTTGTAGCTTGTGACGGTAAAGAAAACTTTTCCGAATCTATTGATGACAATTTGTAGTGTGTGTACTGACTTTTACAACAATACTATAAGTATATTGTGACTCCATTCCAAGGATATGGAAATAATTTAATTTGATAGATTAAAGAAAAACGTTAATATAATAATAAATAATTATTCAATAGTCACTCTGTCAATCATCGTTGTACCTGGCATGTACTTCTCCAACACATTTCAATGATTTTTTCAAGTATTTTTTCTTGTTGAAAGACTTTTACACTGTTTCATTGAATTATTTCTTCATCCTTCCCAAAATACTATCATCATCAACAGCAGCAATATTTCCTTAACAGTACGTTTCTTGTTGCAATGTGCCCCTCTGATTGGTCCTTTCTTTTATTTCTACCAGCTACAGGATCCTGATTTGAGACATCTTACTTTCTCGTATATGTACATATATACGGAGTAATATACATAGTATAGAGAAATTATATGATGCTGTGGAAAATTTTGAGGAAATGCACTTTTTTCACTTACATGTGAAATTCTTCTAATTAAAAGGTGCGAAGGGTTTGTTATTTCTGTTAGAGGTTACATGTATTTTTTTAATACATGTTCATTTTTACAATAATTTTGGGATACAGTTTACTTACTGGGATTTGATGCAGTTTTTGCTTTCACACTGTACCAACCTCATGGATTTTAATTGAAGTATGAGTTGATTTAGCCAACATAACAGAACTAGTGTATTTTTGTAAGCACATGCAATGAATACCTACGGGTGGAAAGGTGTTGTATTTATAAATCATACATTAATTAGATAAACTACATGTGACACTTTGCTCTGCATATTGAATTCCATGGTATTGCTGTGGCCTTGGCCTATGCGATTAACATAACACATCCTTGAGCCAGTCTAATGCATTTTCAAAGACCAACTCGGAGACTGCCGCCTTCCAGATTTACATAAAATATTGAGTACATAAAATACCGACTAGGGAATAAGATTTTGCTCTTGGCACCATTCTAAACATGTTTCGTCTTGCACAATTTCTACCAAATTCAACCTATTAATTGCCAATAATATATTTCAATCATCATACGGTTGGCAAAACAACTTACGAAAACTTACAGTTGTTAGATTGGCAACAAATGTCAATATTGTACGCAAAGTACCCATGATGTGTATATTCCCTTAAGTAAACTTCTTCCTACTTACTCGTTTACGTTAACTAACTACACTTCTTGCTTTCTATATTGCTTCTAAACTTTCTGTATTCATTGGATCTCGTTATGCAAGTATTTGGAGAAAATGACTATGTTATTTCATACTGTTGCTGAGATGTGAAAAAAATCTCTACGTTCTACGAAAATCATGCTCCATAATAGTATATTATGGGCAGCCCAAATGACTACAGTAATAATGTAGTATTGTAATAGTGTTGTTCAGGTTAGATTGAGAAGAAATTTCACTAGACATAATTAGTGTAAAAGCTGTTGTTTTCAATGCAGGAGCTTGGAAGAATGATTGTGTATCACGCAATTTATTCACTAAATATAAGACATATATCACACAATGGCTGTGAGCTTGTTATTCTGAAAATTGTTTCATTGCTTCTTTGTGAAAATGATTTGTATTTACCCATGTTCCTGTTGATTGAGATAGTTATCATAATTGTTAATAATTAGGTTGGCTTTTTAAAAGACATACCTTGTGAATCGATCAGCCAATTTGTTGCCAGAGTGTACAGAATTTACAAATAATTATGACATCTTCACAGTATATTAAATCCTTGTGAAATCTCTGTCAACGTTCACTGTGCAATAACTATTAAGCACTATTAGGCAGTATCTTCCTTGTTTTGGGAGAGGTACAGGATAAATAGTTTAATAGTGTTCTTTTCATGTACATTGAGAATTTTATTTTTGCCTGAACTGTAAATCTTTGACAAAGCATACTCATGTTTCCTACATGTTGAAGGTCCACTGATGGTTGTGTTACAAGTAGTGGAACTCTCAAAAAGTGGGGTCTCCACTGCATAGTATTTTATTTGTGTATTTTGCATCATTGGGGGAAATATAACTAGATTATGATATATAATGAGTGTAAATATGAATTTTAAATATAACGCAAAAATTAACATACATTTTTGTAGAGGTATGAAACAAAATAGTAAACACTGTGAAAAAAAGGTTGATAAGTAAGGTTTGAAAAGTAAAATAGTAAAACTGCTGCACAGTTTTACTGGACATAATGTTCCAACATTATACTATCACATTCACAGATAACTAATTCATCAATATGCTGGAAATTTTTAAAATTCAGAAGAGAAGCGATAGATTGATAAAGATTGCCAACATCTACTTACCTAGATCTTAGGACATATAACCCCTCCCCCTTAAAAAAAAAGAAAAAGATTTTCAAAATCAGTTGATGTGAAGCCTTTATTATTGCAGGCCTTTGGCTTGTCAGATATCCCAGCGTGTTAAATTGGCCCAAATCCAAAGTTCAGTTATCAAATTTTAGTTTTGCTTTCAATTTCTTATGCTTTTTTCCCCCCTCCATACGCTTTTCAGAAATTTCTCCTTGTTCTTTGAAATCAACTCTCAATTTACCTTTGTCAATTTAGTGGTCTTTTCCAAATCATAGTCAAGCCATCTTCAATTTAGTATTAATTTTTTCATGTATATGTTTGATTTTTTTATCATGTTAGACCAAATTTTATGATCATATGAAAAGAAGCTCTGTAATAATGAGAGTGAAGAAAAGTTCTTTGAATGGGAAAATATATTTGTTGATGTTGAAGTTTCATTTTCTGAAGGTGGATTCATGATCAGTTACATTACAGTTAAATCTCATTCTCATTGTTTAAGTCACTTGAGTGATGAAGTTGTTCTGTTGCTCCTTTAAGTAAATCAGTGTTATTATTGATAATAAGATCTAAACCTTTTGCAGCTAGCTTAGTATAAACGCTGGTAAAATCATGTAGGCACTTTTAAGTTTGTAATCTACCATGGGAACAAAAAATATATGAATAGTTTTTGTAAAAGAAATAAAAAACTTCTTTTATTGAAGCGTAATATTTTATGAGTAATTAGGATTTTCTAGCGTTTAAGTTCAACTGGTAATTTTGCATTAGTTATTATAATGAAAATTAAATGTGGGAAACAATTTAACTTTTTTCTGATCCATTTAATTGTTTTTTAACGTGAGTATTTTTTGGAACTTACTCAGGGAACTGCGCATCTGAAATAGATCATACTTTCTGTAGAAAGGAGGATCTTGAATTTGATAGCGGTTACTCAAAATAGATCCTCTGTATGATTGTAATGTTAAGAAAGCCATTTGTCTTTAAATGATGACCACCATACATGGTTTTCTCATATTTGAGATGATTTTTTTTTTTTTAATGATTTTTTTAAAATTATTATTCTTTTTATTTGGCATGGGCAACATCAGAGAAAATGCAAATTCATTTCTTTTTCTTGGAAGATTTCCCTTGTAGAATTGCAGCTAAATTTTTTTGAAAATATGACATGCGCGTATTTCTTTGTTTTTTTCAGGGCTGACATGTGAAAAAATTGGTGACAGGACTCACTTTTCTGCAATGTTTGTTAAACGTGCAGATGCATTGGCGGAGTGCAAATTATGCGGCAAAATTGTGACTAACATGAAAAACCACTACCTTGTTCACAACCCAGGTCATCACCGGTGTGTAGTGTGCGGTGCTGAGTTCACTAGAATGGACAGCCTCAAACGTCATGTTAGGAAAAGTCATGATCTATTCCCTGAACATTTTATGTGAAATGTATTCCCACATTTCATATATCGAACAAAACGTACAATTTTTATTCCCTTGGAAAATAGATCAAAAAGAAAAACTTATTGAAGGAACTACTCTCACTTTTCTTTCTCTTAAGATTGCTATTTTCTATAAGGACATTCTTTTCGAATATCACTCTTTTTCAATACTGTACTTAAAGAATTGGTGATGCCCCTCACTGAATTATATATATTAATATATTTTAAAAAATTGAGAATGAAAATATGAGTATTGTGATTTGTTATTTCCAATTGTCATGTTTTTAGCCCTTAATGTGACTATTTCAAGACTGTTTCATGTTATGTTTGTTATCACCATCTTGAGTTTTCTTTTTGTTGGAGTATTTGCTGAGGCAAATTCATATATAGGATCTATTTTACATTTTTTCTCACTTAATCATCTATTGGGTACAATGGAATATAAAATCCCCCCATTATTCAATATTTTTTCATGTGGTACATACTTGAAGAGTATTGTGTGGTATTTCTTCGCTACTGTGTAGTATATCGTTTTGTCCAGTTCAATGCTTTCTTGTTCACTTACAAGGAGGAATGTGCAGTGTAGCGCACAAGATACATCACTTTACTTCCCAAACTAATATTAATTGATCATAGGTATGATATTCATATCTTTTATATACTATGTGTATTAAGTGAAGCAATTTTAAGTTACAATTGGTCTTTGTGTTCATATTTTTTTTCTATTCACATTCAAAGGATGACGATAGACCTAACAATGCAGTTATAAAGTATTTTGAGGGATGCTGCAATTTTTGAAAGTAGAGAAAATAACTGGTTTCATTAAAGAAAAAATGCTAAATAGGATTGGAATACTTCAATTTTTGCCGAATACAAAATTGCTCAAAAATTGATGTTCTGTTATGACATTCGGCAATTCTTGCTTCTGAAATTATATCTTCATTCCTCGGGTTTCTGCTTTGATTGGATTTCTTCAGGCAAGAATTATATTAATATCATTGTCAATTTCATCAAGTTAATTAAACAATTTGTGTGTCAATGTTGCTGCTGCTGTAACAAATTGGTAAAAAATGCTTAAAAGTGATAATCAGAATTTTTGTTTCTTTTTGTTTTTGTTTCTTAATTTTGTAATTATCATATAATGGATTGTGTGCTTCTCATTAAGAAAAAAATATGACATAATTTGTTTTTTTAATTGAGCAAGGGTGTCCATACTTCATTAGACCAAGTTCTGAAAATTATTTTTTTTATTAGAAATAACTAAGGAACAAAATGTTTCTATTCAAAGAAAATACTTTATATTGATCAAATTCATGAATTATTGTTCAAATAAATTTGAAAATAGGACATGTTACTTTGTTACACAGTGGCAAGATACATTTTTTCAATGTTCAAGGTGTGTAAAAGAAATATATTTTCTTTTAACTATTCAAAAATACATAGGCTAAAATTATTTTTTTCCCTGCAATTATATAAAAATGGGTGTTTCTGTATTCTGTTATGCCTGCATGGAGTTAGTCTTATTTTTAAACTTCTGAAAAACGTGTCTTCGCCTGCGCATGGTAGGTAGGTTACAAGACAAGTAAGAAAATAAAGCACACACTAATGGCAAAACAACTTTAATTTCACTATTATTAAACTTAACACAATAACTGTTAACCTACAATTAACTAATACAACATAATTAGTATGTAACTATTGACACAATATATTATGAAACTCGTAACAACTCTCTTAGATACACCGATTTCTCAACTAATGGAAGCTTTGTCATAAAAACCTTACAATTTGGTTCTGCAGCATTTGCAAATTCAATCGATTTTAAATTCAGTTATTATAATCATGATGTACCAGGGACACAATAGGATCTCGTAAGGAACAACAATGCCTCCCTATCTTATGTTGCGAAATTATGGCCTCCTGTAACACAAATGTTGGCAAAGGTGGATGTTCCTTTTAAATAGTCCATGAAGAGTAGAGATGAATTTTTATATGATTAGAAAAAATTGTTTATATTTCATCGGTGAAGTGTTTTTTGTTTTGTTTGTTTGTTTTACCAATGGGCCTTTGAAAAAAAAAATTACTATGCTGTAACTCTCAAATGAAGTTAATCTGATTGTTAACAAATAGTTAAGGTCTTTTAATGAATTTAATTCATGTTTATTTAAGTAAACATTTAAAGGCTACCTAACAAAATCAACAAAATATTTCAGACAAAAGAAATGCTTCTCCATTGTCGTGTAAATAACATTCTGCTTAGTTTCAATCATTAATCTTGTTTTATAAAAACTCATTGGAATCGAATGGAACATCAGTAAAAAGGGAAATTTAGTTTTTTGTTACATATATCAATTATTGTAGATTCAGGTGCTGTAGTGGAGAAATTCTTCAATCTCTTTTTTGAAATTGTTCACAATTGTAAAAACAATTACAATAATAATTTTAAAAGTTGTGTATATTTCATTTCTGTTCCACTGTACATAATATTCTCTCTTGGTTACTGAAACGGGCAAGAGGAAAACTCATGATTGAAGTTGTGTAAATACATCGTCATTTACATGGGAAAAAATTAATTTTTGAAATTCTTTTTATACAATACATTTTTAGGTATGGCCTTGTGTAAAACCATTGTAAAAGGCAAACAGATGAAATTTTGAAAAATGTCCATTTATTATTATTATTATTATTATTATTATTATTATTATTATTATTATATATCCATTTCACACAAAAGAAGGAGGGGGAAAAAAACTAATCATTGAGATATTTGTAATATTGTGTACCAAAGAATTATATTTATACAGTGCTGTTTTTTTCCACAACCGTTTTATTCAAGTGTGAGAAGTTTTACCCTCTATTTATCTGGGTATAACATTATTCCTTGAGTATAAAGAATTGCTAATTGTAAACATAAGATATAATATTGTAGTTAAAAATGACAATGTATAAATCATTTTTAATTTAATTGTAGGAATTTGTGTGTAACTTCCACATATGTATCTCTTCAGCTCTCTTGTTTTGATTCTGTTATGCCAGCATGCACCTAATATTTGTAGCTCATTTCTGAATATCCATTGCATCAGGGTTCCCAACAGGATGTTAATTGATTCCCTAGGAGTCCATGGTATTTTAAAGTAGGTGACGAAGGAGCGGATTGGTGGTCGAAAGCAGATTATACACAGCTGATTGATCTGTAAAATTAAGAACCCATTAATTAGGAAAAAATTTTAATGAAGTTGATAAATTTTCTTTTCTGTTATTCATTATTTGATTCTATTATAGGTTTTCATCTAGTACTAAATTACTCATTTTCTTCTCTTTTGGAAATTCATATCATTCACGTGAATGCTTATTTATCTTTTGTGGAATTGTTATCTGTAATTTGGTTTTTGAAAATTTGTTTGTATTGTTAAATTAATAATGATAATAGTACAAAAAAGAGTAAAACATAAATCTAAAAATTATATATTTTCTCCAAACTCTTACGTATTTGTATACTATTTATCCTTACATTGTTTATGTATCATCAATTCTGTTAGAATACGATGCGTGCTGTTTATCTTAGAGCAAAATTTGAGAGAGTCAATGTACCAAACCTCTTTTTAGAAAGGTCCCTATCCTAGTCCCTGTTCTAGATCTTGGACTCTGCAGTGATGATTCTGTTTTAAGTCCCGTCATGTTTATAACTCAGTTTATTTCTTAATGCAATTTCAAGGTCTTTGAGGAAGTGACAACCAAATGGCTGTGTACTGATTCTCGGTTGACTATCCACCAACTTAAGTTTTTATTTTAGAAAAGAGTAATAATTGATATTTAAAAGGCAAATAACTATGATAGTAATTTTTAGTAAGTTATTTTCATCTCATAGAGGCAACACATTTCAGTCTGTCGAAATACAATTTATTCTATTAAATGAGAATCATAAGTTCAGCATCACAAGTTGTGAACTTTGCATTTTCTCTGTGATCAGCCCAAAATCAAAAATGGAATCAAAGTAGTGACAGTGAATTTTGTCAGTCAATATTTTATCTGACTTGATTTCTAATGTATGTCTAACTATATTTATCAATTTTTTTTAACCAGGAAAATATGTAAATAAAACTAAAATAATTTAAAGAACTCTAAAAATATTTAATTTTGTGTTCCTGTTTTGAGAATTGTTGTAGTGTCATTTTTATTAAGTATAAAATTAGCCTATTTATTGAATAGGGAAATGTTTTCATCAGGAAAGAACCCCACTCGTTGCTACAACGGTTACTCTGTGGTGTTTCTTCATGTAATATTTATTTTTTCCTGTTGAATGTGTATTCTGTTCATTCCTTAAGAAACATGGTTTTGACAGTCTTTGTCATTAATTTAGTTTTGAGAATTAAACATTTGCAAAATAATTAGTATATAAAATGAAATTACATAGAGAAGGAAATTAATTTTAAAATATTTTGGAATCATTTTGTAAAATTAATTTGTTGCAAACATGGAAGGGTGTGGAGTCACTCGTTTTAGCACCACCTTAAATGAAATGAAACAGATTTGAGAAGACAAAACCGTTACCAAATCTTTGTCATTCTTTTTGTTGTATTTCCTGATTTCTCCGAGCTTGTGCGGTATTAAGATGATCTTTTGTATTAACAAGAGGCTTAACATAATGATTCTATTTAAGTCTAAAACTGAATTCTATAGTATTGTGGGCAAAATTGAGCGAAACTTCAAAGATGAATTTCTTATATTGTGAAAATATTTTACCTGCTTTGCATACATAATTAATTTAACAGAAAGAAAATTATCTCATATCGTGAATTTATTTTGAAGCATTTTGTTTGTTTTTTTGTTGTCCAATTGTGGTTTTTTGTTGTTCACCTTGTTCTCCAAATATTCAAATTACTGCCACCCTTTTAAGAAACTACCCTCTTTCGTTTATTTTCAGAATATACTTCTACAGGAATGTCAGACCAATTCTGTAAACAGCAAGCCAAGGATTACAATTCTATTCCTTGACTTTGCCAG